TCTTGCTCGAGTTGTCGTAGCGCTGATATTATTCTGAGGGTTAAAGTTCAGTACTTGTAACTTTTGTTTTTGGTGTTTGTACGACGGCTTCATTGCCCTTTTGACCTGCTTCCCACCCCACCCCTCATTCTCTCTCTCCCTCTCTCTCTCTCTCTCTCTCTCTCTCTCTCTCTGTCCTCCCCACCTCCACCCCTCTCAACTTGTTGCCCCGCCCCGTTGTAGTCAGCCGTAAAATCCTGTCGTGAGAGTTTCCTGCGCGGGCATGGGTTTTTCTATTTATAGACACCTCACTCCGGGGGTTTCCCCCCGTAAACAACTTGTTGACGTCTGGCAGGCTTAACTCTGACGTCACAGGGCTGTCTGACCTAGTTCTGCTAGGGAAATCCCGGGGGAAAAGTTTCCCAAGGGGCTGGGGGTGTAGGTCATTAATTACTACAACCCTCAAAGACGGCAGACTTGAATCTTTTTGTATGTAACTTGTCAGACTGTTGACAAAACATTACACTGTTCTTTTTGTTGTTGTTGAAGACTTTGTGATGGAAAAATGGAATGCTGCTAATACATTGATAGAATATAGAATCTAGTAGGCCTACACATTTTCCTAAAAAGGTCTCCTCCACAAAAATACACACCCTTTGTGCTGACAAACGAATACATTAAATGTTATTATTCATCCACAAAACTAATTTTTTCCTCTTCTCATTGTTTGTTCACAGCCAATAGCTGTTTCCCCGAGCTGTCCGTCAGCAGTCACCACAACTCATTCATGCAACATCAACAACATCAACAACAGCAACAGCAACTGCCACACTTTCTGGAGAAAGACCTTCTGTGTATGAGCAGCAACAAGAATAACAGCTCTGGGTTTGGCCTGGGCCCCTGCGTGTCACCCGCTCCTAGCACGGGCAGTAGTAGTCAGGACAGTCTGCACACCGGCTCACTCACCGACAACAGCGACGACGAAAACAGTTTCAGTAGTAAGTACACTTTATGTACTCAGATTGGTAGATACATTGGCGGGTGCTCTGGTGTGGTCTGCTTATTTTTCTTTCCTATCGAACATCTATTGTCCTTATCTCCCTTTCTTCTTTTTTATGTTTGTTACTCTCTTGTAACTCCTCCTCTAATCTTCTGGCGCTCATATAACCTTATGCAGTTGCGAGCACCGTAAAATCTTTACAAAAACAAAAACACTCACCGCTTTTTTTCTATTATAGGGGGTGCCCATTGGCATGATTGGTTCGGTTTGATTCCATTTGGTGGGCTAGGCTAGCCAGATCAAGGGCGCAAAGCGACCATTGTTGCATAAACTGATCGCCCGACTCTCAGCCTAAAAAAACAAACGTGTTTACTTTCAGGCTGCAAATCTGGCGATCGGTTTGTCGATCACCTAATGGGCACTCCGAATAAAATTATTTTTCACTTATTCATTCTCCTATGGTATAGATGTAAGCATAGCTTCACTTAAGAATTTCCATCATGGCATGGGCATTCTAGAACTTTGTGTTTTTGCCGAAATACAGGATTCAGTTGGAGTGGTGTTAGGAACTCAAGGAAATCAGTTATAAATCAATTTTTTTTATATCAGATGTCACCATTTATTTGCTTTCTGCTACTGTTAGTTTTTATTATAGTATGATGTAGTTTGAAGAAGTTTCTATTTGGCTTTACGACGATACTAATTCTTCTCCCTCTGTGTGTTCTACTGTATGTGTTTTGAAGATGTATCTGTAGGTATGACAATACACGTGTACTTATTCTTCTCCCTCTTGTGTTTTCTCCAGTGTTCTCCTCCGCCTCTGACTTGAGCTCCCACGGAAACAACAAAACCAGCAGCAGCGTTGTGCATCCTGTCACCAAACTGGGCCGTGGACACAAACAGACGATCCATCTGTGGCAGTTCCTCCGAGAACTTCTCTTGTCTAAGGAGAACCACTCCGACTGTATCCGCTGGCTGGACCGCAGTGCTGGGGTCTTCAAGATCGAGGACTCAAAGAAGGTGGCTTTCCTGTGGGGAGAGAGAAAGAACAGACCGGCCATGAACTACGACAAGCTCAGCCGATCTGTGCGGCAGTATTACAAGAAAGGGATTATCAAAAAAGCCGATCAGCCCAAAAGATTGGTCTACCAGTTCTGTGCTGGCTACATGTGAAACTTGTTTTGCTTGTGTCTCGCTCAAGACTTTCTACTTCTCTCGGAACCCATCTGAGATGCTTTGTTTTACAACAGAGATGTTGAATCTCAGTTTTTTTGTTCTGGGAGTTTTCCGGGAAAACTTTTTTTGTCCCAGATCTAAGGGGTCTGGTTCAAATCCCAGACTTACCACATAGTGACTGAGCATCGTATCAGATCCAGTGGTTTTTATTTTACACAAGTTCAGCCAGAGCTTGACAACAGACAACTAGATGTTGTTGTACAATACGGCACTATTGCTGCTTCCCCGTCTGGCCAAAACAAATCTGTTCAGTAAGAAATTTTACAGTATGAAGTGATATTGGTCCTTTTTTTTGTTGTTTTGAACCAGTTGTTTAAAGTTTCCGTTTATATATATTCTAAAATGGCTTATACGCTGCCTTCAAAACATTCTATGTCATGATTTTGACCAGCTGTCACTGAAATTGTAAATGTACTCAAATATTTAATTTTTAGCATCAATTTCGTCTTGTTAAAATATAGAAACCTCAGACATACATCAGTGCCTTATAAATATAGGTTTTATAATTTAGTTTTACTTGATCCAGTTACTTTGTAACTTTGAATGCAGAACACATGTCATACCAGGAAATTAGTCACAAAAATGGGCAGCGAGTGGTCCAAAATGTTCAAGCTTTCTTTCCAAATTGTTTTGAGCTATGTGTTCATAAGTAAACGCGAAGTGAGTATTGATGAAACAGGGATAGTGAATGGATGAGTAAAAGTGTGAGAAAAGGCAGGCCATAGATAAATAGTAAGAGAGGTGGATGTATTCTTGTCAGTGTTTTGTGCATGGTATGGTGTTTTGTAGAGAGAGGTAGAGAGAGCTATGCATGTGAGTGATGTGGGTCTGTGTGCTGTGCTTGTCCCAAACGGGAAGAAAAAGTCTCCACAATGCACAAAATTGTAAATTTGTTCTCGGTCTTCCATATTTTGTACAGTTGTGTAAAATACAGCATATTTTCATTTTGCTTCATATCTTTGTTCAAACCATCCATACAGCCTTATCTTATTTTTATATACTTGTTTAATGCTGTACATAATACTTTCATGTGCTTTTCTAAGCCCAGATTAATGATGAGGTGATGTAGGATTTTTTTTCAAAGTACTGCCTTTGCTGCTGGTCAGCCTCAAGAATAGAGTGGCAAATATCAAATATATAAATATTTATGCATGCTATATAAATAGCTATTTATGTTATTATCAATTTTATTAAACTGACCTATTTAGGTTCAGCGCAATGCATTTTGAGCTTACAAGTCAAGTATCTCGGTAGGTGCTTTCGGTGGTTCTGTTTAGATGAGATGTGGAACAACAACTTTTCCAGATTTTTTTATATAAGAAAAGAAAGAAAGTCATCATGTTTTCATAGTATGGTCAGTTGAGTGATGAGAAACTGTTTATCTTTCCAAGCTGATGATTTGTATGACTGTCCGTCTCTGTGAACTTTTATCCCTCCGTCTCTTCATGTTTTCATGGTCCACATAATGTCTTCCTAGTCTGCTTAACATGAGCCGTTGTCTTTCCAATTAAACTTTTTGATTTTTAAGAATTCATTTTCATCACTTAACTTGTTGGACTGCTGAGGTATTTGATTGGTTAATTCTCAGTCAATATAGTTTTTGGAAAACGATAGAGAATTCTACTTCTAGGAAAAGAAACGAAGGAAAATGGCAAAAAAGAAAAGGCCTTCTTTACTTTGGACAAATTCTAGTCATGAGAATCGTTTAACAAAAACAGCCCCTTGTTTTACATTGCTGTATTTGCTTATTTTTTGGAAATAGAAGCAAGCAATATAAACAGTTGTTTTTCCATCGTGTACATATAAATTTTGTTTTCTAGCCATCAAGACTATATGCTTGCAAATTATCTTTTTGAATACTTCTTCTATGCATAATCAAACAAGTTGTCATCTCTGTATCTGAGACTGTACAAGACTGTACATGCTTCATGCTTGAAAAATAGACAAAACAAATGTGTGAATCAATTCATTTTATCCAAATAAATGTTTTTTTTAAATATCTGAAGTGAAATGTGTTTCCTCAATTTCAATTATATTTTAGTATCCAATATATCAGGCACATTCCTTGTTTGTGCATTAACTACTATTTTTGGGGGGTTTGAGTTACACAAACTACCTGTTGGTGGTTGGCGGGTGCTCTTGTGTGGTTTTGCTCCTTCTTTCCTATCAAACACCTATCGTCCTTATCTCCCCTCCGTCTTTTTTATGTTTGTTACTCTCTTGTAACGCCTCTAATCTTCTGGCGCTCATATGACCTTATGCAGTTGCGAGTGCCGTAAAACCTCTACTAAACAGAAAACAAATTGTCTGTAGCGTGAAAGTTAGGCATTTTACTTTGCTCACAGAAGACGTGAGTTCGATTCCTGAGAGTGGAAATTTGTTTAATCCGCTGTCTTTCCATCTTTCTGCTGAGACGATGTCAGCTCAAGACAGCCCTGAAAACCAGGATAATGAGTGAAGCAGCCTGCCTTCTGAAAGTATCTATACTTTCTTGACGAGAATGTAAGAAATGAACAGTCAAACTACCCGATCTTTCCAGTCAGTTTTTCAATGACTGAAAACTATGTCATAATATTTTAAAACAGTCCCAGACAAAAATTATGTATTGAAATGAACTTGATTCATTACAGTCAGATGGGGAATAATTTTCCAGAGAAACTATAGGACACGATTGAAACGTTTGTTTGTATGGGGTTTTTTTTTTTGGGG